CGACATGAAATTTGATAGGATAACGGAATAATGTATTCTTGGCACAAACCAAACGCAGCGAGAATGTACCAATAACACCATATGATGTTTATGAAGTCAAAAGTTCATATCACTTATTTTACCTAGTTATATATCTATTTTAATTCAATTCAAGCCTATTTTTTTTGTGGCATATCCAATAATAAACTATACCAAAAGAGATAATTCTCCCTTTCTCAAATCACCATCTATGTTACAAGTTTAAAATTAAAACTATAGATTTAAAACTTCAAACTTAAAAACTTAAAGTTTAAATTTAAGACTTTTAACTTGGATTTCAAGTTTTTTATCAATAAAGCCACCCATTTAAGTTTACTGTACGACATCAACAAAACAAGAATAACAAAACAAGGGACAAAATTTACCCATTTTAGACAAACATAGTTCAATTCATGAAAACATTGCTTATAGGCCACCAAAATAATATGTGCTATATTCAAAGCTAGCTTAAACATTCTCAAAACCCGAAATGGATAAACGCTAAATACAGAACAAAACGAGAAAATTGAATGGAATCATATAACAAAAAAATTAATTGTGCATACCTTCTTATCAACATAATCAGCCCAGAACCAAGCTTGTGCTCTGGCATGAGGATCAGAAGGGAGCAACGGAGCCTTGTCCTTCCACACCTCGTCAATGTACTGGACTTGGATGAGCGACACACAGATGGGTTTTCCATTATGAACGAGCATTGGGACCTTCTTGTGAATTGGGTTCATCTGCAGAAGCAGAGGGCTTTTGTTCATCAGATCCTGGTCCTTGTACTTATACTTAATTCCTTTCTCCGCCAGCGCAATCCTCACCCTTATCGCAAATGGGCTCGCTCATAAATTCAACAGAATCACCTCGTCAGCCATTTTTTCCGATCGGTCAATATAGTGAGTAAGAATAGTAAAGGGTTATAATTCTGTAGAAGACCGGAGATATGTGGATCAGAGTCTGTGCATTTATAGAGGCTTGAACAAGGCATTCGTGTTATGGGTCATAATAAAGAAATTGCGAGTAAAGCACGTTCTAAACCATTTAATGGCCGTTTTGTGTGACAGAGCATTTAATCGAAATTTTGTTGAAAAAAAAAAATCGTAGAAATGTTGTTTTGTAAAATAAGGATAAAATAAAAATAACATATTAGTTTTATTAAAATTTAAATGATAAATTCTTATAAAAATATTAATTTAATGTTTTTGAGATTTGTAATAAAATAGATAAAATATCAATTTATAAGAAATTGTAATATTTTTTTTATAAATTATAATATTTAGTGTAACTAAAATTTTAAAAAAATTTTCATAAATTGCACCAAATATAGGCTTAATCTTTTTCATTTTCTTTTTCGTTTGCCACTGTTGCCCTCTCTCTCACCCCAGGGCCTCCGTACTCCATTTTGTTCAATATTATTGTTGGATTTTTAGATTATTAAAAAATCTTCTAAAAAGAATTGAAGAGAAGTCTCCTAAGCCAATCTGCAGATCTGCTCCTCTATCATCTCCTTCAGTTCTTCTGTTCCTTCAACTTCCTTTTCTAGCATCTTAAGTCTTCACAAAATCAATCCAAGATAATACAAGTTCACTCTCATCAAATCTTTAATCTATTTAAACCATCTATTTTATGCAAAATTTAAAGCACTAATTAAAAATTCCACAAAGTCATTAACTTTTAAATTTGATTTTCCCAAACATAAAACAAAAAACAAAATTTAACAAAATTCAAGTTCATTACCCTTAAACTAAAAAAATTTCAATTTAACCCAAATCATAAAACTCACAAATCAAACTAAAATAAACAAAACCCATCAAAGAAAT